TGGCTTTTAAATTTTTTTGTAGAGACAGGGTCTCACTATGTTACCCAGGCTGGTCTTGAACTCCTGGGCTCAAGTGATCCTCCCATCTCAGCCTCCTAAAGTGTGATTACAGGCTTGAGCCACTGTGCCCAGCTTTTGCTATATTTTTGTAATAGAGATAATCACTGTTTATAATAAGGATGATACTTCCCAAAATTTTAAGATGGATGAGATCAGGCATGTAAAATATTACATGTTCTTGAATGAGGTATGCTAAAAGAAATGAAAATTGGGCTCGGCATGGTGGCTCACGCCTGTAATCCCAGAACTTCGAGAGGCTGAGGCAGGCGGATCACCTGAGGTCGGGAATTCCAGACCAGCCTGGCCAATATGGTGAAACCCCCGTCTCTACTAAAAATACAAAAATTATCTGGGCATGGTGGCAGGCACCTGTAATCCCAGCTACTTGGGAGACTGAGGCAGGAGAATTGCTTGAACCTGGGAGGTGGAGGTTGCTGTGAGGCCGAGATCGTGTCATTGCACTCCAGCCTGGGTGACAGAGTGTGACTCTGTCTCAAAAAAAAAAAAGAAAGAAAAAGAAAAAAAAGAAAGAAAAGAAAATTATTACAATTCCCTTTATAGGCCTTTAATGAGTTATTAACCTATCATTGATGAATCTGCCTCTTGAAATATTTCACTTCTTGTTTTTTCAGGCTTACTGGAGTGATGTAATCTGCTCATAAATTTTCCAGGAGTATTTGGGGAACTTTAAAATTGAAAAAGCAACATAATCTCCCTCCCAAACACACATGCACACACACATTTGCATGTACTTGCACTCCCTAAGACCACAGCGTGCATCTTTATCTTCACTTTCTATTGACTAGATTGATTGAACTTACTAAACCATTTGGGTCATCAAAGCCTCAAGTGCCTTGGGTTAGCTAAAGTATCACAAAGTCCACTAGCTCATTAGCAGTAAATCCTAATGTAGCAAAGTGATTAGAAATAAATTATTTACTTAATGTCATTTGCTTGTAAAAATCATCCTTCCCATTTATAGTTTCAGTTGCTATTATGCAAAACTGTTCTTTTAAAATTTTGCTCATTCAAAATTAAGGATTTTTGAGAATCCGATTAGACACAAAGAAAACCAACACCTATCTGCATATTGCCATCATTAAATTCTTTAGTAATAAGGAACCCCTAGTTGGCTCAAGAGAATGTTTAAAGATTTTTCCAATATTTTCGATTTGCAGAGTGGGAAAAAGGATTTTAAAATATCATTGAATCTACTTGTTTGAAGCTAATTAGCATACATTGTTGTGTTATTTTTAAAGTTAATTTTATAAGCCCAAGATATGTAACTTTTATGAAAAAAGAAGAAAAAACTGGAAAAAGAATCAGAATCTGGTATACATAAACAGATAAAATGGGTTGACAAGGGCTGGGCGCAGTGGCTCACGCCTGTAATCGCAGCCCTTTGGGAGGCCAAGACGGGTGGATCACCTGAGGTCAGGAGTTTGAGACCAGCCTGGCTAACATGGTGAAACCTCATCTCTACTAAAAATACAAAAATTAGCCGGGCATGGTGGCGGGCGTCTGTAATCCCAGCTACTCGGGAGGCTGAGGCAGGAGAATTGCTTGAATCCCAGAGGCAGAGGTTGCGGTGAGCAGAGATCGCACCACTGCACTCCAGCCTGGGCGACAGAGGGACATCTCAAAAAAAAAAAAAAAGAAAAAGGTTGACAAGTAGCCAGGCATGTTGGCACATGCCTATAGTCCCAGCTACTCAGGAGGCTATGGTGGGAGGATTGCTTGAGCCCAGGAGTTTGAGTGCAGCCTGGGAAATGTAGCAAGATCCCATCTCTAAAAAAGGTTAAAAAAAAAAAATGGGTTGACAGATACAAAGAAAAATAAGTGAGGAATGCATATAATGGTGTGCTGAGGCTGCTCCTCTTGGACTGTGGGTCCATATGAAAAAAAAAATGTTCTGGAACTGAGTAACAAATCACTATTGAGAAGTGCCTTACAGGGTTACATAAAAGTATTGTTATTATTTTTGTTGAGACATAGTCTCGCTCTGTCTCCCAGGCTGAAATGCAGTGGTGCATCTCGTCTCACTGCAACCTCTGCCTCCTGGCTTCAACCAATTCTCCTGTCTCAGCCTCTTGAGTAGCTGGGATTACGGGCGAGTGCCACGAGGCCCGGCCAATTTTTGTATTTTTAGTAGAGACGGTGTTTCACCATGTTGGCCAGGCTGGTCTTGAACGCCTGACCTTGTGATGCGCCCACCTCGGCCTCCCAAAGTGCTGGGATTACAGGCTTGAGCCACCGCGCCCGGCCTACATAAAAGTACTTTTATCCATCTTTACGGTGTCTGTGAAGAGATCTGGGGATAATTCAGTTGCTTTGGTTTTTTGGTTTTGTTTTGTTTTGAGATGGAGTCTTATCTGTCACCCAGGGTGGAGTGCAGTGGTGCGATCTCAGCTCACTGCAACCTCTGCTGCCCAGGTTCAAGTGATTCTCCTGCCTCAGCCTCCTAAGTATCTGGGATTACAAGCATGCGCCACCATGCCCGGCTAATTTCTGTATTTTTGGTAGAAATGGGATTTCACTATATTGACCAGGCTGGTCTTGAACTCCTGACCTCAGGTGATCCGCCCACCTTGGCCTCCCAAAGTGTGTGATTACAGGCGTGAGCTACCATGTGTGGCCAGTTGCTTTGGTTTGGTTGACTTCACTTCTTAAACAAATATGACGATGAAACAATCACAAATGTTTCTAATATTTTCTGAACGAGGAAGTGAGATGTTAGCACCTTTTTTTCAGGACTGTATCTACCATTATAGGATCTGTTGGGTAGTCTTAATTTCAGGCTTTCTAGAAAAAGCAGTATATTCTGATTTGGGAGTTTCTCCCATACGGTAAAAATAAAATGTGAAATTTCAGTAACTGGCATGAAAAATTTTAGTAGTACCCAGGAAGTTTTCATAAACTAGTGTTTTCATATAATACGGAAGTTTCAATGTTTTGAAGGTTCAGTAAATAATGAGTATACAAGAGTGAAGTCTAAATTACCCATTCAGAAGGGTAACCCTATAGCCCACATGTCTGGATTCATGTATGCAGATGGACAGATACACTTCATTTCTCCTGGGAAGTTGAGCTCTAAAAAGCTATCACTCAGAACAGACAGTTTTATGATTGCATGAAAAGAAAAGGAAAGATGACAAAGTTGTTATAAAAATGAAAGGCCTTTTGCAGTATTAACAGCTGAAAACATTAAGATTTCAACGAAGAAACAAAAATCAGCTTAAAACTGCAAATTAAAAAGAAAAAGAAAAAAAAAAAAAAAACTTGTGCAGAGGGTTTGAAGCATATGGACACCCACCCAGCTAGCAATGAGGGCAATGGGAGCCCCAGACTTTAGCTTATTAAAGATGACCTTTCCCCTCTCTAAAATTTCAAAGCTGACGTTTCAAGTGCTGAGCAGACTGTGTGCCATATGTAACATGACCTCAGCTCCACTCTGCCTGAGCACTGATGGCATCACTAATGAGAGGTGAAAGGTCCTTTTCTTGCAGCTTTTTCAGAAATCCACCAATTCTTGCCTGTGAAGTAAGGCTCCTCCCTCCCCTCCCTTGGTTTCAAGAGAACGGCATTTAATACACAGCCTCAAAACACTTTTATTACCGTCAATTTGCTTATAGCCATAGCCAAATGGCAGGATGTACAATCACATGCAGAAGAAAATATTTATTTTGACTCAGAAGGCAAAGGGATTAAGAGAACATTGTATTAACCTTGCCTTTCATCTGTGTTTTAAAGGGAAAGTCTCCTGAGGCATCCATTGAAGTTCTATTTTTTAATAAAGAGTATCAAAGGCTTTTAGGAGACCAGGTGTGTTTTTAACTGAGAGGAGAGAAAGGAAAGAAGCTTCAAGAGAGAGAAAAGGCAGTTTTCACAAAGCTGCTTCAGAGACTGCAAAAAAGATGTATATGCTGGAATCTGTTACAGGCATTCCTAACAGCCAGCCTCCTCCACCGTCCCCCACCCCTTTTTTTCCTCCTGCTTGGAAACAAAATAGCTTTTTTTCCAAGCAGGTTGTTATCATATTCATGGCATGGTCAATTTCCGTTTGCCAAGAAAATATTTAGGCTGATCAAAGAAATTAGAAAATCGGCTGAATAGAAACAGACGTTCCCACAAGAGAAGCGCTTCTCAATGTGAAGAGGCAGACGGACTGCAGCCCACCCAGTTACTCCTAGGAAATAGCTCTCCTGCCAAAGGCGGAACTACAAGGCCACCTGGATTCTGGATTCTGCTGGAGGGGTTACAGAAGAGTCAAGACTTCCCAGGAAATTCAAATAGAGACTGGAGTTTGAGGCGCTCTGGCGGCAGACGTGGATGGAGATGATCGGCTCTAGTATCTATGTACAAATCAGGAGGGCCTTTACGTCCATGAATCCAGAGTGACCTTTCAAGGCAGAAGAGAAGTGAGTCTGGGATCCTTTTGTTTTGCTTTGCCTGGTTTACTACGCTCATGGCAAGAACACATTATCCTGGGTAGATGGCAGAGAAGTATGTACTTTTGGAATGGAGGGATAGCTGTTTCACCCGCATTAACACGAGTTCAGTTTTTTTGATGCGTGGATTTGGGTGGAGAATGGTTGATAGTAGTTGCCTTTGGGACCTTATTGGTCTCTGCGTGCGCTTCGTGACGGTAAATGAGACGGTCTTCCATCTCTTTGCTGTTCCTGGGTAATGCGCGGCCAAACTAAGTCCACTTGCTGCAGCGCTTCGACGCGAAGGACTGGCTAGGGTCGCGGCTTCCGGCCGCAGGTTCCACGAAACCCAGAAGCCGGCTCCGCTTACTGAAAGGAGATCCCGATTCCCCCGCTCGTCTCGCGCAAACTGAGGCACCTCATTCGCCAGCGAAGCGTCGCCGTCCTTATCCCAACGCCTCCAGTTTTTGGAGGGAAAAAGTGAGGGAGGGATGGCTCTAAAAGAAGGCGATTATGGAGACAGCTAAAGAAGCCAAAGAAAACTCCCTCCTCGCAAGTCCCGTCCGGGACTACGTGGCGCTGGCGAGGCCAAGGTGGGCTGAGCGGTCCCCGGGCTTTGGGCCGAGAATCCGCTCCGCTATCCCAGACCCTTCTTGCCGCGCGCTCTTCACTCCGGGGGCTCGGCCGGGCAGATTTTCTTTCTTGTTTTTGTTTTTTGTTTCGGTTCCTGCCGGCCGGGCGAAAACTCCTTTGCCAGGAAGACAGCGCCCTCTTTCTCCTCCGGCCGCGCCGCCGCCGGCCTGCGCCCGCTCTCCGCTCCACTGACCTCCCCGCGCCTCCTTGTGGTCCCCGCCCTTCAGGCCCCGGCCCCTCTTTCTTCATGCCCCAACGCCTGTGGGCCCCACGCACCGCCCGAGGGAACAACCCCAGAGAGCAGCGAGCAAGGGCCGAAGCCTGCCCGCGTCCCGGCCCTCAGGCCAGCCCGGCGCGATAGCGCGACCTCTGGCTACAAGCCTGGGCTGAGTCGGCCCCGCGCAGACGCGGCACCCGAGAGCTCCCGCGCATCCCGGGGAGGGAGTTTCTGGTGTAGGCGGCGGGGCGACGAGTGAGGCCCAGCTCTCCGAGACCCCGCGCTGCGGGCCAGCGGAAAGGGCTGCGAGCACACCGGGCGGTGAAGCCTCCCCCGGCGTCCACGCGCGGATACTTGGTTGCGCTCGCGCACCTGGCACAGCGTGTTATACTGAGGCCCAGGATCAGTCCGCGAAACGTGGACCCGGGTCTGCACCCAGGTGTTGGGTGAGGGTGGCGGGTGAACTTGAGTAGAGGTAAGGAAACATCTTACGGCCTTCTTCCAAGTGCTAAAAGCGTCCCTCGCAGCCCGCCTGTTTGCTGGCAGCCTCACCCTGCTGGCTTCCAGGAGGGCTTTGTCGAGCACTGCCGCGGTGTTGGAAACCTTGTTTCAAAGTCCAAGCCTAAGCGAGTGGGCGAGACGCGCAGAGGAGCATGGGTGAGTGGGCACCTTCCCAGCACCCTCACCCAATGTCTCTCTTCCCACTGCTCAGAGGACTGGTCATTCAGACAAACGCCGCGCGGCCCTTTTGGGAACAGAGGCGGTCGAGCTTCTGTCCGCGAAAATCTGGATCCTTTAGAATCCGAACAATATGCTTGCGTGAGAACGCAAAAAGAGATCCACGGCGTGGGTATGCACCGACTGAGGTACAGGCCTGAAGTGCTCCCACCCCCCCGAATTCCTACCCGCTCCTGGGTGCCACAGGGGTAGTTTGCTTCCAGCTGACCCTACTGCACAACACAGGCGGCTCCCAGAAATGCACTAATTGAGTCACAAACCGCTGGCCCCAACTAACAAAGCGATCCATCTCAGCAGCTCAGCGCCCAATTTGTCCGCAGCACTTTCTTCCGCAATTCAGAAGCATTATCTTGTTTTAAAAAGTATCACGGCAGAGACGTGGCAATTATCCTGAGCTCTGGTTACACTAAAAGGCTTAGGCTGAGAAATGGAAGAATACAAATGCCGCGAGCATGCTGATTGCCTGGCTGCCGAGCCTGGACCGGGAGTAGGGGAGGCGAACTAGAGCTTTCGGCCGGGGAGAAGGGAGGCAGGCGCAAGTTCCCACTTGTGGTCCTCTCCGGGTGGCACCAGCGAGAAAGGAGTGTTGGCCCTTTATCTCTAAAGGCTAAGGATTCCCAGCGACGAATCCCCAAAGGTCGAGGGAGAAGAGGTCAAATCCCAATAGGACCAGGCCAGCTTCTGGTCTCAGGGTCTGGGTTTTGGGTCAGGAACAGGTTGGGAACTTCAGGCACTGCTGGGATAAGGAACAGGAGAAAGGTCAAGGGTTAGTGAATGAGATGGGGGCGGAGGGGGGGGGGCGGGACGGAGATTCCAGTCTCTCTTCAGGACACCCACTCTACAATTGGGCAATTGGGGAGGAGGAAGGCATCGGGAGAAACGACCCGAAGGAAAGAGAAGCTGGCTCTTTGCAATGGGAGAAGGCGTTCACTCCTGAACCAGGGGCAGGCCTGCGGCTGGGTGGACGCTGTAGGGTGGGAACGCTCGATAACTGGAGAGTCCCAGAGACCACCAGGCCTTTCCGCACCAGGAAAAAAAAAAAAAAAAGTCTGCTCTAAGAATCTTCATCTCGGTCCACCAGGGTGAGTTTGGGCCTGGAAACTGGGGGGAAAGAAAAGAGAGTAACGAAAGGTTTTCGGGTGGCAGCGCCCCGCGTGCAGATGTCTGCTCTCGCCAGCCGCCCAGCCTGCTGTGGCAGCCACGCTGTGCGCGTGTCTTTATCCTTCAGCTCAAACCAGCCCCCACATCTTGAAGTAATCAGCAGCCGAGAAGAGACTCGTCCCCCTGGCATCTCAGGTTAAAGAAGGAGGTCCAGGAAAATGTGGTAGAGCCATTACAAGAAACCCGAGCCGCAGTCATCAGGGACTCCAATTGCCATCGCATTAGGATTGATTAGAGACCAGCAGTACCGTAATGACCCGGAAAGAGGGGCAGCCGGGGATTATTAATATCAGAATGTGGGGGAGTGGGGGAGGCAAAGTGGGGAGGGAGAAGTTTCAAATTACTAGGATTTATATGTAAGTGCAAGTTTACCTGAGGAAACCAGATAGTCAATGAATCACGCTAACGATAAATCTAATTGCATTTCAAATTTCACGAAGCCTGATTTTTTGGAGAGTGGAGTAAAACCATCATGAAACCAAGCCAATATCTTAGTTTTTATAAACACGTAGTTTTATAACTTTATTGTAAGAATTCAAGTGAAGAGATGGGGAGGAGCCCTAAATGTCTGCTTTCCTTGTCATTGGGCCTCCTTACCATTTGGACTCTAAATAGCTTCATTTTTTTTCTCGTGGGAGTGCATTTTTGAGTCGCTTTGGTTCTTCCCTCCAGGGATATGGGGCAATGGAGTGGACATTTTTTTCAGAGCCTGCAGAGGAGTAATAAACCAAAATTTAAGTGAAGCAGTGATACCTGGGTAGTGGTTTTTGTTTTTTGTTTTGTTGAAGACATGAATGATCAGGATCCCAAGGAGATGTGGAGAAGAGAGTGGTTTGTCTCCTTCCTCCAAATATGAGCCAAAACAAATCAGCCCCTGATGGTCCGGGCTGAAATACAGCTCACTGGATAATTAACTCCATCTTTCCAGTCCACCCTAACTGTTTATTTAGTGTCACCCTGCATTACCATCACTAGCACTTTCCTCTGAACAGGAGGAGCTGCAGGCTTTCACCTCCCAAAAGGAAATTCTTTTTAGCTTAGACAGATGTGGTATTCAGGATGTACATAAGTTGAGAAAAAAAAGTTGATTGGAAATTCAATGGAAGATAAGCGGTTTTGGAGAGTTTCATTTCATAAACCTGCCCTAAGGAGAGATTTTAAAAGACAGGGAATGGGCGGGGGGTGGGGGGGGGAGTCCCTTAAATTCTTAAGAATTGTTTCTTGTGACACCTTGGCACCACTTTCCAGAGAGGTAGTTGCCATCTGATGTTGAGTAGGGTCTTCTAGCTCAAACCTGGCGATTGGTCAGAGCTTTCTCTGAGGGCAGCTGGTTAGCCCTTTTCTCCCCTAGGTGGCCAATACACCTTTGCCCACCCTCCCTGCAGGCCAGGCCATCTTTTGCCCGCCCTCCACTCCCCGTGAAAGGTTCTCGCCAAGTAAGGCCTACTACACCGCCCAGACTTGAGGGTCTACTCTCAAGTGAACTTACCTGCGCTGCCTCAGTCAGTGGGTGACATAAACACACTCTGTGAAACCTCACAGTGCCCAGTCCCGGAGAGATAAAAATGAGGGCCGAGAGCCGGCGGGGGGCGTGGTGGGGTGGAGAGGGAGGGAAGGAGGAAGAAAGAGGAAGAGGAACAGGAAAATCAACGAGAAAGAGGAGAAAGAGAGGAAGAGAGAGATAAGGAGAGAGAATGAGAAACAGGTTCACATACAGACAGAATGAACGAGCGTCCTCTTTCAGATGGATAAAAGAGTCAGAGACACACTCTGGGAAAGACCTGCCACGGGGACACACGTAGAGGGAGAGAGAGGATAACTCTTCCAAAGACACACACCCCAGCTCTGTTCCCCTCCAATCTGAGCTCTCTCCCAGCGCTTGACCCTCGGTCGGTCCATCAGTCTGTGTGTGTTTCTCTCTTTCTCCCTTCCCCGACCTCGAGACAATACGGAGATGGTATTTTCGGGAGTCGCGCGGGGCGGCACGGTTTTCAGCGGCGAGTCAGGCTCACAGCTGGCTCTGTTTGTCCAGGTGTGGGCGGTGGTGGTGGTGGGGGGCGGCGGTCGCCCTGAATCTTGGGCCAGCGCAGCGTTTTCGCACCAAGGAAGTAGGAGGCTCTGCTCTCGAGCTTCCCGCTTCCAGGAGAAAACTTCCTCCCTCCGTACATAGATAAATACACTTGGGGAACAGACAAATCTTCATTGTTCAGAAATAAGCTGAGGAGGCCCGCCTGCTCCCCTCCGCCAGGCAGAGAGAGGCAGGGAGGGAGGCGGGGGCCGCGCGGATCCGGTGTCACGTTGCAGATTCCCACTAAAGATAACGAAACGTGATCTATTTTTCAGAACAGCAAGTGGATGGGAAAGAACCTTGACAACACAAAACTCATTTGCTAATGGACTGGTTTTGGGTTTCTCTTCTCTGAGTCCGCAAATCTCTCTGCCTGAGCCCCAGGCCTATTCAGACCTCGTGGGGAGCGGCGTCCCCCAGGAACAGGTGGGCTGCTGCTCCGGCGCCACGCCGGCCGTCAGAGTCGGAGTTCCCAAGGGTCGAGGGCACCCGGAGTTTCCGACTAAGCACAAGAAAAATAATTTTGGCACTTCAGCCCGGATTTGGGGAGTCTCCGCACTGCCCCAGAGCGATGACACGAATTTATTGAAGAAACACCTCTCTGTGCCCTCCCTTTCCAAATATTTGTAGGTAGAGTAGGATCCTCCCCGTCGTTCTGGATGGTGAAAGAATTCCAACAAAGCTGCCCGGGAGCCCCAAAGTATCTTGCTCCAAGCCAGAAGGGAAACAAGTGGGTCCCAGCTAGGGGTGTTTGCATCAAGGCCTATGTGAACCCAGCTGAGAAACCCTAGCAACTGCTAATGCTGTCCCATTGAATGCTTTTTTGTCGACTAATTATGCGCACGCGGCCGTTACCTGCACAGAGGAGGCACTGGAGAGCCGAAACCTAGCATCGGGCGCTCCTTGCCAGCGGTGTTCTCTCCCGAGCCGCGCTGCGGCGAGGGCAGCAGCCGCTGGCTAGAGTTGCTTGTTTCCTTTAAATCTCCAACGCATCTCTGCTTTTCGTGCGATTTGCATTGACAGCAAAGGTTTTATGTTACCAGAACAACTCAAACCTTTCTGCGTGCGATTTTAAATGGATCATTTGGTTTAGGTGGTTTGTAAATTCATGTCATTTTATCTTTTTTAGTGATTTTCAGTAAAAGATTCCATTTTGGGAAACCTTATATATCCAAGCCAATAATTAACATTTATAACAATTGGTTCCCCTAACCGAGGGATCGAAATAGCAGGTAGACTCCTTGGTATAAAGCGCAGAGCACTTTCCATTTCCAGTTACTCGATCTATTGGATTAAGCGGGAGAAAAAATGTTGGCGGGCCCAGTCACGGCCTCCGAGGAAGAGCACCTCTTCTCTTCTACCCGGGTTACCGCAATCACAGCTTCTACACGTCGTTTTCCCAGTTGACGGCAATGTATAGTACGTCCTGGTTCCTTTTGAAGACAAGTAAAAAGAAATAGGCAGGTAGGTCTGGAGGAAGCCGGGGTGGGGTGGGGGGGAAGGTGGTCCTATTCGTGTCTAATTACCATCTCTCTGCTCTCTGTCATCCTCTGTAAATGTATACCTGCCCTTATTTGTCCAGGCTATGCCTCATTTCCTTATACAGAATTGTTAATTACAAAGCAGACCTCATACTCAACATACTGTTCATCTTTCAAGAGACGTGGTTGTGCTTAAAGACCCTCCCCTCCTTGTAATTGTGCGCACTTGCTCCAGACTTTAGGGTATTAACTGATTTTTTAGAGCCGGGTTTAAGCCTCCGTTCCGGTCCTCACACAGCTGCCATGTCAATAAGGACTGTTTCAAGCAGAGACATTCCTTCTGGGAGGACACTGCAGCTCCTTAAGACTTCATGTGAAACATCATAAGCACTAAAATGAGACAGTGAGGGGAAATTACCAGAGGTGGCTCTGGGTTTAGCAGTGCCAGGCTTCCAGTTTAGAAAGTCATTGGGCATACTATATGGTAGAGGCTCTTTTGAAAGAATGCACACCCATTAAATGCATTTTTTTTTTAAAGCCTAAGGTAATGAAATATAAGCATCTGCTTCCAAGATCTAATTGCATGGAATAAGCAAGAGTTTCCAGGATGCAGAAAGCATTATGTTCAGCAGAGAAGCAGCTTCCTGTCTACTTGGAATCTCCCATGTGGCAACCCTGAGGTGGGAACCCTATATGAGTTTAGAATGTATGTTGCAGGGTGCACTGTATTGGGTGCATCATTTTAAAACCATATTAATAATAAAAGGGGAAACCCAGACACTGCTTCTCCTTCTCTCACTTGCATCTCAATATGCAAAAGGTTCTGTGGTGCTGTGCTCTTTGACTAAAGGAATCAAAACATATTTAAAGAAGACAAGCTAGTTTAAGGAGCCTACAGTTTGTTCTTCACCACTCACTAAGAGGGCACATTGAAATCAAAAGCATTTTTGAAGTGTACTTAGAATTCTGTTTTGAACTTATCTAATCAGAGATAAGTATAGTCATAAAGTCACTCTCCTTCCACCATTTGGCTTCCCTTATCTCCACGCATTGTTCTTATCTCCTGCTGGTCTCAGCTACTGACAATAGATTATCTTTATTTAGAGAGGCTAATTGTCTTCAAAATCTTTTTAATAATTGCTTTGGAACCAGGTGTGCAAATGAGGCTTAAGATAATTACAACTTCATTTGTTTGTGCAGTTTTACTAAGCATTCTCCACACATAAACAAAACAGCAGATGATGGGACTTAAATTGCAGTACATCTCTCATTCCTTGGCAGCAAAATAGGCCAGCATTGCAACACACACACACACACACACACACACACACACACACCCCTCTTTATTTAATCTTCTTGGAGCCGCTGTCGTCCTCGCTTTGAGGGCAGTGTCCCTCTCAGAGCAGGGTAAGGATTATGTTACAACCGGACGGTTATTGGAGCTGGGCACAATTTTATTTAATTTACACCACATCCAACGCCTTTCGTACGAGGTTCCCAAAGCATTTTTGCTAATAGCAAGTAAAGCTTCTCGGCATTCCTCAGTAGCAGAAGTGGCATGGGAAAACGCAACAGCACAGATGGGGAAATTGAGTCCAGAAGCTTCAGGAACCTGCTGGTTTCAACCGCAGAACATTAAGATACCAAGTCACAAATGAACGCTCGGAGTCTCTAGGTGCTCAGCAAGTATGCCCGAAACACCTCTTTGCCTGGTCTCAAATCATGGAGGTCTTTTGTGAATGAGGGAAACGCTGTCCGACTGGGAGTACTTGTGCCCTTTGGAGGGTGGTGTGCGGCAGCTGGGGGAGGACAGTGGGAGTTGGTGGGGGGAGGGGGAAGGAAATAGGGTTGGCTTCTCGAGCTGAAGCCAACCCGAAGAGAAGCCACTGCTCCAGAGGCTGCATGCGGAGACCCAGGTCTGCTCTTGAATTATTTATCGCGTTCCATAAGCTATTCATCAATCCATGATTTATTCATTCCAACATTAAAGTAATTAAATATGAGCTCACCGGGAAAGGGCAAGTTTGTAAGGGATGAAAGCAAGAGTACGGAGGGAGAGGGGAGGAATTAAGGTTTGGAGTAATTGATTTGTGCGGAGTTTTGCGCGACTCCCCTTAGGTGATACTGGTGACGGGTCCCGCGCTGCAGGGTCCTGACGCGCTCACTCACTCTCTATCTCCCCACACCTCCGCAGCGCAGCTCCCTCAGACCCCAACTGGCTTCCCACCTTTCCTCTTCCTTCTCCTCCCACCACTCCCTCCCTGCGCAGCCCCGGCAACACCCCCAACCCCCAGCTCCTCAGCCTCGCCCTCCCCGCGCTGGGCGGTGCGGCCTCGATGGGCGGCGCGGCCTCTCTGCCCAGCCGGGCGGCGCGCTGGCTGGCCAGCCCGGGATAGGCGCCGCCCGCAGCCAATCAGCGTGCCGGGGACGCTGCGAGCTTTAAGGCCGCTGCGGGGAGAACAGAAACCAAGTTCCCCGGCAACTAGCAGCATCCACCGGGCGGGAGGTCGGAGGCAGCAAGGCCCTAAAGGCTACTGAGTGCGCCGGCGGTTCCGTGTTCAGAGCGTACCCTACTCCTCCGCCTTCTCTTGCTTGGCTGCCCACCTCCAAGTTCTGACTCGGGTTTTCGCCTTTGCAAAGCCTAAGGAGGAGGTTAGGAACAGCCGCGCCCCCCTCCCTGCGGCCGCCGCCCCCTGCCTCTCGGCTCTGCTCCCTGCCGCGTGCGCCTGGGCCGTGCGCCCCGGCAGGCCCCAGCCATGTCGATGCTGCCGTCGTTTGGCTTTACGCAGGAGCAAGTGGCATGCGTGTGCGAGGTTCTGCAGCAAGGCGGAAACCTGGAGCGCCTGGGTAGGTTCCTGTGGTCACTGCCCGCCTGCGACCACCTGCACAAGAACGAGAGCGTGCTCAAGGCCAAGGCGGTGGTCGCCTTCCACCGCGGCAACTTCCGTGAGCTCTACAAGATCCTGGAGAGCCACCAGTTCTCGCCTCACAACCACCCCAAACTGCAGCAACTGTGGCTGAAGGCGCATTATGTGGAGGCCGAGAAGCTGCGCGGCCGACCCCTGGGCGCCGTGGGCAAATATCGGGTGCGCCGAAAATTTCCACTGCCGCGCACCATCTGGGACGGCGAGGAGACCAGCTACTGCTTCAAGGAGAAGTCGAGGGGTGTCCTGCGGGAGTGGTACGCTCACAATCCCTACCCCTCGCCGCGCGAAAAGCGGGAGCTGGCCGAAGCTACCGGCCTCACCACCACGCAGGTCAGCAACTGGTTTAAGAACCGGAGGCAAAGAGACCGGGCCGCGGAGGCCAAGGAAAGGTACGCGGCGTGCTTCCCGCGACTCGGGCGACCCCAGGAAGCCTTCCTTTCCCCTTCGCCCCCTCCCGCCCCCGCAGGCACCAGCTACCAAGTCCTCCCGGCCGGCCGAAGCCCGTCCACGGGGCGGCGCGCAGGCCTCCGCAGCGCTGCAGCGAAAGTTCATGAACTCTGAGGTTCCTTGCTAAGAATGGGGCCTCATTTGCTTTGAGCACCCGCGCGTGGGTTTCTCTGGGATGTGAGTGTCGGGAAATATTGGCGCTAGGTTTGGTTTTCATGCCTCCCTGGCTGGCCGCGGCTTGGAGTGGTGGGTGGAGAATGAGTTTCTAAATCAACGGGCAGTGAAGTGTTGATTGGTGTCGCAAGGAAAGGAGTTCGGTGGGAGCTGAGGTTAGCGAACCTCTCTCCTCTTCGCTCCCCAGAGGGGTGAAGCTGGTCTGAGACATTGGCTCTGCCCCCACTCCTTGCAGGTTCTCCACCGCTCTCTCTCGATAGTCTTTTGGATTAGGGGTCGCCTGCTTCATTTCTCACTAGCTGGACAAAGGGCGGGGTCTTTTAAAAACACACCAAAAAGAGAGCTCTGGAGAGAGTTGGCGCTGCATTTACTCCCCGGCGCCCCAAATTAAGAAAGGGTTGATCCTCGTCGTGCTCGCTCGCGCGTGGCCCGGCACTGCAGCCCGTCGGTCTGGCTGAACGCGCCGCCTGCCCAGACGAGGAAAGGGTCTCCATTCGCAGCCTTCTCTCGCACTGGAGCTCATAAGGCAATGTTTTCAAAATTGGTCTCTACCTTCCCCCACCTCAGGGCAACACCTTCGGCCACCTGGCCAGGCTCCTTCTGTTCTCTGTAGAGTTTCCGACAGAGATTCGGAAGAACGGTGGGGAGGTGGCTGTGGCGGGGAGAGCGCTCTGCGAAGCCAAAGAGTTGGGGGGAAATCTGAGCGCAGGGGCCGCTTAGGTTTTCCTTTGTTCGCTTCCAAGACTAGGGGCGGAAGATCTTGCTTCCTTTCTTGCTTAGTGGAAAACCAGAGCCAGGATAAATTCTGCTGAAATGGGCTTGCCGGGAGACAGAGACTGTGAGGATAAGGGGAAAGAAAGGAGGAGACAGGCGCGAGGAGTCGGGAGGACCGGCGAGCACTCGGAAGGCGGAAGCGGCAAGGGAAGCGAATCCTGAAGTTAATCGGCACCGAGTGCCGGGACTGACGCCCCAGAGCGCGGCGCCCGCTGGCAGCCTGTGCCGGGCGGCGAAGTTTCCCCTGCCCAGAAAGGATGGGTTAGGGTGGGTGTTGGTAGGAAGTTTGAGAGGGGGACACGAGGGGCTGAAGGGTTAGCAAGTAACACAGGATCAGGGATTGTAGGGTTGCAGTTAGCCTTTAGTTGCAAAACGGCCGTCCTATAAGCCAGGCCCGAGGGCCGACTCCAGATGAAATCAGAGAGACTGGCTGCGCTCCCTGTGTTTACTCAGGTCACTGGGCCGCTCTGGGCACCACTTCCCATGACCTGTCCTGTGTCT